GAAGATACTCTCGTCCAAAGTGGATCTCAGAAGAAAAGGCTCTATTATAGCTACTCGGACGACAGACAGAAGCGTCAGTCGTCCTTTCTATCCGTATCCGCTTAACTATCATCCCCGACCAATTATCCACTGCATCACTTCGCGGCCACTTTTCTTACGAATCGCCACACGATCTCCCGAACGATTTGATAAAGTACAAATACCCCCAAAACAAACTGGAACAGCCACACAAATCACTTTTTATAATTAACTTCAATTGTAGCCACTGATTCGATTAAACCCAAAACCCGTAAAGTTCTTTTGATTATCTTCGTCTCTACCAAAAAGAATTCCGCACAAAAAAAAAAGAAGTTTGGGACAGCAGTTCAAGCGGACTGGGGGAGCATTCAATGCACTTTTGGCGTTTCTCCATCAACTTGTCGAGCCATCTAGGAGAGCATTTTCTGGAGTTGACAGGTTTTACCCAATGCATAGTCGACACTTCCTCCAGGCTCACAAGAGTTCGACCTGAGGTTTATCACCAGAAAGAGGTTCGTAAATTGCAACTGTGAAGCAACGAAAGTGCAAGAATGCTTTTTCCGCGCTGAACTGCGCCAATCACAAGCCTATTAGAACCTTTGACTAATTTGCACTCCTGGGTCTGATTTGTCTTTTTCACTTACGACTTTTCGTGACGTGATCTCGCTCCAACAAATCATGAAGCACTTTTGGATTATCCCGTCTAAAATGCCAGGACATGGCCAAATTGGTCTACTACTGCCTAAATTTCAGGAGTATGGACGTCGATTGAGCTGTTCATGGCTACCATGCTGTATGGACGAAGAAGAAGCGGACGCATTCGGTCATCACGTCTCTATTTTTATGGTGGCGCTTGTCGCTTTTGCCACGTTCTTTTGCGTTACCCTGATACTGGTGTTGGTATTTTTACTGGGTTAGCGAATGCACAATAGTTTCCATCCTGTACGTCTATATTCTGAGTTGGGGCCCCTCGTCGCGAGCGCTAGGGCGCGGAACGAGGCGGTAGTGAGCGGGGGCGCGTAGGTTGTCTATCTTTGCTGATTGCCTGGGTCCATTACCACAGCTGCCATTTCCACGACCTTGAAACGACCCCTCTCCTAATTATAAACTAAGTATCATTTCGGCCAACGATCCGCGTCCTTTCTAAGCCTTTCAGTAATCATTTCACCTATACGAGACCTTTCTGTCAAGTAATATTGCTACAGTTGCCCACGACCACTGGTTGATGCACATATTGTTCTGTTACTTATTTGATGATTGAAAAATAATGAATAGCATTTTTTTGTTTCTAGTCTGGCTCTATTGAAGGAAAGTTCTCGAAGTCGCATCGCAGTGTTTCCTTTAAAATTAGCGGCTACTAAAAAAATTTAATCTTTCACCATTAGAAATAAAATCTCAATCAGGATGAATGGATAATCAAAAGTGTGTCGTACATTGGGGTCACTCTAGCGTAGAAGAGGCGTGGGATGGTATTTATCCAATGGAAATTCCCCTAATTGCTAATTTTCCCCGTTTCACTTATTATTGCCCTAGGCGTTGCAAAACTACAGCGACTCGGGGCAATCCACCGACTCCCCTCCCCTTCCTCCATTCCTCCTAGTGGTCGTATATGCAGTCCATATCTGAGAGCAAAACAAGGCGTTCCCATGTGTCAGTTGTGAGCGCAACAGCAATTGCAAGAGTTGAGAGTAAGAAGGGACAAAGACGAATGTTTGAGAGAGAAGAGCGGACACGGAAGCCCGCAGCCAGCGTCAGTCTCGGCTAGGTACACTATACCTCCCTGAGGAGCGGTAGGCGTGGCAGCGCACTTCATTCGAACACGACGTGAGACGCTCTATTGGTGGGATGTTTCAATTCGAGGACAACTGTCATCCTGTCCTCACAAAGGCATGATTACAACCATCCCAAAATAAAAAATTCCATCATAAGTGTAGCTGCCGCCTTGTTCAGATGAGCACGCAGCCACGCCTACCGCATCTCAGAAGGGAGGGTCGTTCAGGGCGTGGTGAGCTTTTTCAAAATGGTCTTGTGCATATTGTAGGGGCACATACGAGGACCAGAAAACTGAGGTTCGTTTTCGCTGCGCGCTTCTACGAATAAAAAAAACGTAAAAAATAGGTCGATGGTTCGGATCCCACCGAGGACAAAATTTTGCTTTTCTACAATTTTTCATTTTTTGGATCCATGTTTGTCTAAATAATTGGTCCTAATAAAAACATTCACGATAAACTGAACAATCCTATTTTTTATGGAGCAAAACTGCTTTTTCGTTCGAATTCGTTAGTATGCACAGACTCAGCTCTTCGGCACTATGCCGGTGCCAGATGGCACTGGAACCGAAAATAAAGTCTAGAATCGTGATCAGGACTGTCGATTACCCCTAGGAGCAAGTTTTGAGCGAAAAATTTTTCCTTGACCCCGCACTTTTTTCGGGTTGTTGGGCGGACATTTGGTCGGCAGTGATGAGCGGCCGCGCTTCACAATCCTTTCCGTAACAGCGATGGCGTATCGTTGACGCTACGGACACCGGACAACCCAATAAGCAAACCCAAGAAGGTCAAAACAATTGTTTTGACTGAAAATTCGTTTTTAGTGGTAATAAGTGGCCCTGATCACAAATGTAACACCTATTCTTGGCGTCCACGCAATTTGGCGACAGAATAGCGGTGAACGTTCCCTACATTGGTGTACATAACGAATTCAGTGGAAAGAAGATGTGGCCCCAAATTGTCTATAATTGACACCACACCAGAAGTTACTAAATTCGCAATCAGATCCACTGTATAGCCTATGAGGAACAACGTCCAGCAACAATCTTGTTCAATGGTGCGTGAAAATCGAAATACTTTAATAGCACTGACTCATGAGGTATAGCTACTCAGAATGTGCCCATAAATAGAAAAATATCCATCGTTGGGGCCGTGTTTGATATTCATGCGCAACACAAATGGAAGCGACACAGCAAACATCTACAAAAATGCAAAAGAGCTTACGACGCAAGGGGAGCGAACCATCAACCCCACCCCCCACTGTCCGATTGCGAAACCTCCACTCTATCCGCTAGGCCATCCGGTGCTCGGCTATGCTCGCGCTCTTATCGTTGATGAAACCATTGCAAGAAGCCGTTCACCCTTGAGCACATGACCCAAGTTGGAAGCTCACTTACGGCGATTTTTCGCTTCGATTCAAACGGTCCTCTTGTATAGGCGACCCCCCCCACTCAGCAAATGGTCAAAGTTGCAAGTGACCTACGCCGCATAGAGGCCCAGAACGAAGCAGATTCCACAGATTTCTTTTCACTCGTTTTTTACCGTTCCTGGAAGCGCGCACTGCGAAATGTAAACGCACCACTTTTCAGCGGTCCCTGCATGAAGCCCCCTTACCAACTATCGCAAAAAACCGTTTCGAAAAGCGACACGCCCTGAACGACTCCCTTTGTCAGAGATCGGGAGTACACGCGCGGGGGGGGGAAGCAAAGAAACCACTTTTGCCCGAGGCACACTACTCAGCCAAGTTGAATACGCGAGTCCAGAGAGAAGACGCTACTGGGGGCACAAGATACTCCAAGATGTTCCTCAATAACCAGAATCAGGCTCTCCCTGTCCGATCACCGGCATATACACAAACTGTGATCCGCCATGTCTGTATTCACAGTCGAACTGAGAAAGGCTTAGGTCTTTTTTCATTTGGAATTCAACCGTCACCTCCAAACAGCTGCGGAACTTCTAGTATGGAGTCACCCATGGACAGCTACCTGAGGACCGGCACTCTCATCTGGAGGATCTCCATTATCAAGCAGCTCCGACAAAGTCGCTATGGCAAGGATGTCATCTTCTCTGCAGTCGCCAAAGAACGGGTTGATGGTATGGACCGGAAGTTCCTGGAATGGAAGACCGATATTTTCTTCGTGGACCCCGGACTGAAAGTGAACGCTGACGGTTACATCGACCAACTCGAGGAGAATATCCTGCCTTCATGTCGTCGCCTGTACCATCTTGGAAACTTCGTACTGCTACAGGATTGGGTGCCAGCACATGGAATCAAAAACTCTCGCCTACTTGGAATCGAAGGGCGTTGAGTACCTGAAGAAGACGGAATATCCAAGTGTGTCACCTGACCTAACCTCCCCGATTACCGGGTTTGCAAGGAGCTCAACAGAGTGGTTTACAGCGGCGAAGAAATCAACGACCTCGCTGAACTCAAGCAAAGAATATGATGGTGAAACGTCCAATCAGAATTCTGTACTTAGAAATGTCCCTTCGCCCTCCAACATGGATTGTGTGTATTGTAGGAAGGTTGAATGTCTTCTTTACAATTTTCCTGCCCAATCCAGAAGAGTATGAATGAATAAGAATGTGCCATGATAGCTATTGGTATAGCATAATATAGAGTGGGGCGTGACGTGATAAAGAATGTTATTAAGTGATATGACAAGATAATATAGGATATGATGTATTCGCATAATAATATGAAAATGGATAAGATGACATTGTAGGATAACCCAAAAACATCGGCTTAATGCGCAAAGCTTGCTCTGGTTTCGGCTTTCAGAGGATAAAGGGATGAACCCTCAGCAGTGATCAATCCCTACTTTACGTGTGCCGCGAATTCCACATCTATTCAGAACGGTTGTGACGCTCTGCATGCTTTTCGTTAGTATCACTTCGGGGGCGGGGAAGCGGGGGGGAGGGGGATGGGCATTTTGTTCTCCTATACAAGTCTAGTACCAAGTAACCGATCCCAGAGATAAAGAAGCTGGGTTGGCACGACAATTCTGGGGAGGAATCGAGAGCTTATCCCCGTGGGCGCAGTAAACTGAGCCACTTGACCCCCCCCACACTATCGCCGTTCCGTCGCTTAGCATAAACCGTAGTTTTCCATATTCTTACAGTCTCTACCCTAATTTCTGGAGAAAGTCACAAAATTATGCGAGAAATCTCTGTGAATTCCGTATCTTAATAGTGAGATAACAAAGATTACACTTACTCTGCCACTAAACGGCGCATTTCCATTCGCAGTGTGAAGATATTGCGGTCGCCTCGAGCGAACAAGATCACGCCATTTGAAGAGCGCGGTGTCAACTGAAATTCCGGAATTCGTAAAAAAGTGACGAAATAGAAGCAAATGAATCATCTGGGCGTTTTCAGGATACGCCTCTGGGCATTTGTTCGGAGCTTTGGAGCAAATGACTGTGAAGGGGAAAAATTCTTATTTCTCTATCATATCTATTCGGAACGGGGATGAGGAACGATTCCCTCTCCCTGAGCAAGAATCGTCATCCCTTTGGCGCTATAGCACTTCTGCTGGTACTGATATGCATGCTGACTAATCCTAATGCCCCCCCTACATACGATAGGGCGTCACTTCTCTCTACCCCACAGGAGCCAAAAAAGACGCTTTCTTACTCGACTTCCAAAGCAGAATAAGTTACCCTTTAACAACTTCTGATTGGACATTTCATAAACAAATTGAAACATGCACACATGTACAGGATCGCAAACTGTGATTCGTCCATTGCCGACTTTAGGACCTTCCCGTTTGAAAACTCCACCCGAACCTTGGAATCGACGAAGGTTTAGTGGTGCAGAGTGCATCGTCGACTTTCGTCTTAGGTGCTCAACTCTTCGATTATAAAAAAGGCAAGATCTTTTCAGTTCCATGGCTGACGCCCAGTCCTGTAACATACGAATCATTTTCCACGATGGTATATAACCGGCAAGTTCTCGCTGCTCGATGTAAGCCTTCAACATTATCAGTCTGGATCCACGAAAAACAGTATCGCGCTCATTCCATTCAGGAATTTCCGGTCCAACCATCAATCCGCGCCTTGGCGACTGCAGAGATGATTTCCTGGACCATAGCGACATTGTGGGGTCTGCTCGATGTTGGAGATCTTCCAGATCAACTGTGCCGGCCCCCAGGTATACTCGATAGGCGTGGCCGCCTGTTTCAACCTATGCTGAAGGTGTCTGTGCTTCTGGATTGTTGTCGTCTCTTGGTACAACACAGAAACAGCATGACAGTTGTCTCGGACTGGAATATACCACGAGTAACCAGTTCTGTGCCATGATTGAATGCCACGCCTACTCTGGCTCAGGGATAAGGTGTGTACTGCCGCACATATTTGGCAGTGACGTAGATTCTATAGGTCCTCTCCAGTCAGGCTGCGATTGGGGTTGGCTTCAATTTTAGTGTAAGCGATAGGCCGCATAGCCTGCTTCCTGCCTTTATCGAGCGAACATCTTGTGGATTTAACCCTGGCTACTCGTATTCCATGTCTTCCTCCTGGGCTGTGTTTCGTTCACTGATATGGTGGCGCAGAAGGTCTTTTTTTGGTTTCCCCCCCCCCCGCGTATTTGGTTGACTAGGTGTTTAGAAGTACGCCACATTCTACCTTCAAAAACGAGTGAACCAGCTAAATTTTGAAAAGGAGTCAACCAATTGAATAACGTTCTACTACTAATTATCATCTACATTATTTCCTGGGCTGGAAGCACTTTTGTTGCCTTTATCTATTTGTTTACATGGTTCCTCATACAAGAATATTTTATGCGTAACTCGGTCATCAATCAACTGACTTATGAATAGTTAACAAATGGATGGATGACACTATCGCTGAGCGTAGCAAAACAAAATAATCCAGCAACAAAGTCTATGGCTAGGGATCGGCGCTCAGCAAATCGGCAGAGATGCTGCCTCCGACTGATCGCCGAAAATGACGTGCGTGGGGTGTTCTCTGTCTAAAAGGGCCTTCAGAGGACAATCGAGCGTTACAAAACGACCAGGTAATTGCTCTACGCCATACGCAAGCAATGCCGCTAAACAGGGCACATATTGGCGTCTCTGTGGTATAATGGAAAGTTCAGGGGCAGAGAAACATCGGATCCAGGCCTGAGCTTTCGCCTAGACAATGCTCCCGAAACCTTGAGATAACGTGTATAGAGTAAGGCACTTCGCAACCTAATGTCTGCCGCGTAGTAAGGGAGGCAATAGGCACTGTGTAGCATGAGGGGAGGGTAAGAAAAGCACAAAACAGCCTTGATCCTAGGAGGGCATATCTCCTTGGATTGAAATTTCATCCAAGATTGTGCAACTGTTGCTGCAAGCTACACAGACAAAAGGTGATACAGGCACCAGGTGAAGGTAAAGTTATGCAAAGTCATAACAGTTCTACAGGAAATCTTATCCAGAGAAGGCTCGGCGAAGTTTTTCCCTGTAGCCGCTGTTCACAAGCAACGGTTACGTCCCCGACTGCCTAGCGGCGGAAAACTTCGGAAGAACCGACGCTCCCTAACTCTATCCTCTGGAACGAACCCCCCCTTTTCCCCTTTTTCCTAGTTTTTCTCAACTTCTTGCCCATTTCTCCAGCTTTTCCGGAATTTCCCAGTTTTTCCCCAAAATTCAAATTTTGCTGTCCATCGAGAGGGGGGGGGCGAGTAATATATAGCACGTGTGAGACGGGAAAACCGCGAACTGTCAGCAAACAACGCAATAAATTTATCTTGAATTTTTCTTATTTAAAAGTCTAATACGGCCTCTCCCCTTATAGCGTCCGTGAAACAAGTAAAGTCAACTAGGAAAAAATAAAAGCCAAATACGACTCCCCCCTCCCCCGCTGGGGTTTCCCCAACGTACTCCGTGGTCTGTCCACAAGTTGCATTTACAGGTCTCACCGCGAAACTAGCGGACTTATGAGGGGTGTTCAATGTATTATCGCAATAGGTATGAAGGAAAAAGCAGAAAATCCTGAACAAAATTTATTTTTAGTGTGGTCCCTTAACCTCAATACACTTGTTTGCTCGGGAAACTAACTTTTCAATACCCTCTGAAAATATTTTTCCTTCTTGTCCCCAAAATGTGCGTTAATTGCCGCCTTCAGCTCTTCATCGTCAGAAAACGCTTTCCACGAAGATCTTTTTCAGGTTGGGGAACAAGAAGTAATCACTAATCATTTTCTCAATTTTCTTTTCATTTTTCCCCAATTTTTTTTCAAAATCAGTAGTCGTTTTCTCAACATTGTCGGTCATGGCAGTCGCGCTGATCTCCTTTCACCAAAAATAACTATTATAGAATAGCATTGATGATGACAAAATGAAATTTTATTCTTATACCCTCAGGGAGTTAGTCACCTATTGAAATGATTTAAACTCCTTCGTCATTGCTACATTACCCGATAGACTTTGAATGGCCCTCGCATGCCTGGTGCGAAGAACCACCACCCCTCCTGACGCGAACAGCGCCTACACCTTTAATCAAGTAATTACCCACCGTAAGAGTTATGTTCATGTGTAAATGGAGACCATGCTTGTTGATTCCATAAACACGATCTTCTTCCATCTCCAAATTAAGATTCGACTTCCGGTCTAAAAAGATGATCATCTATCATAACGTGACAAAAAATCAGCTAGAAGCTTCAAAAGGTAAAGCCACAGTCCAATACGAGTAGCGATGGCCTACGTACTTCCTGATCTAAGACGGTAAATAAGTAGGGTGCACAAGTGAGAAATGCCCAGCGGATGACCATGTCCTCCTACGGTGGCATGGGAGGACATGGTCATCCGCTGGGCATTTCTCATTTGTGCACCCTATCCTCTGCCTCATACACGACTTCAGCGCTACTTGAATGGGCACTTTCTCCATCGCTTACAAGGAGTGGGCGCAGTTCGACGATGGGGTGGGGGGAGAAGAAATGGCATTTTGCACTTTCGTTGCTTCGCCAGTTCCGGTGGCACTTGGGTTACTGTCACTAGTGCCAGAATGTCTGCGGCGTTGCCGCCTATGGCGCTGAGACGACAGAGGATGTGAAATTCGTGTTTAGAGAGTCAAGCTACCTGCGAAAAGCCACTTTTTGTGGTAGCCTTGCGTTGAGGAGAAAAATATCTATCGAAATTGGTTTCAATTTCGAAGATTTTGGACGGTCAAATGTCTCAAGTTTGTGGCGGTCGGGGGGTGGTTCGCCACTTTCGTTGCTTCCCTAGTCTTCCGGTTTACACTGTCTCCACTCTGGTAGAAACCTGTGAACTCTTGTGAAGCTAGCCTCGTTCAAGCAATCATGGTAAAAACTGTCAACTTCTAGAGAACGAGGCTGTCTAGAGATAGGTTGCAAAACTGTCCCAAATAAGATATGCCACTTGGAAAAAATCGATGCACCGGTGAGTAGAAATGCAGCGCGTAAATAGCGCTGGATTTTCATAGATCGCGAACCTGTACAGCTCTTCGTTTAGGTTCGAATCTGCCGTCAGATGCAGTCACTAATTATGGCTGGAAGTATAGAACGCATCTCAGAAAGCGGCGCGACCGACTCGCCTCTACATTTGCATAGTTCTGCCATCTACTAGATTCAATAAAAAAGGATTCCAGTACCTCGCTCTGCAATGTTGCCTCTCAGGAATATTTTTCTCCCCTCGCACGCACTTGCACATGCTAGAAAATATGCGTCAATCGGCTCACAAACAGCGCCTATCTGGAAATGAACTTTCTGTGTTGTAAGTCCTATTATGTATTTATTAATGAGGAGAGGAAAAAGAAAGAAAGAGTGAAAAGGCAAAACTCACTGTCCCTTCGCAGTTCGCTTTAGGAAAGTGCACGGTGGAAGATGCTTCAGGGAAGGGGTGTCTTTCTCACGATTATTTCTCTCACGAGGCTCTGACGAATCTAAAACGATTACGTGAAGCTCATTCCTGTGGTACTGTCTTGGACCCTCCCGAGGTTTTTGAAGTGAATACAAACTAATCACCCCTTCTATTCAATCAACTTGAAATTACGTATTTCTAAAGTTATATTGGCCACAATCGGCGCAATGGGAGAGGGGGGGGGGGGCATTTTGCACTTCTTGCTGGTCTTTCCCAGTATCGCTGTCAAGATAGCGAGCTAGAGATTTTATCAAATCCTTTGCTCCTGCCACTCAAAGTTCTAGAAAGAAAGCTCACCACCTCGTGTCAAAGAAACCTGTCAGTTCTTGCCAAGACTAAGGAGCATCGACAAAAGGAACCTTCGCGGAAACTGCAAAATCCCTCCCCCCCCCCCATCTTCCGTCGCCGGACTGCGCTGGTATATTCAACTTCTGGATTTCGGATACAGGTTGGGCCACCAAACACCTAAAAGTTTCTATGCCCTGTAGGAGTGCAGAATGGGTGCTAACTCACTCCGTACTATTAAAGGCGGAATCCACGCTAGTTGTATAAGCGGGTCTGGCTCTACAACGCTGCCTCCCTAGTGTTTCGCCTCTCTGTCTCCAAGACGCCACGAAAATGGAGAAGAACAGTGGTAGGCCCGGTTTCGCCCACGCAACCAGCGTAGAATGTGCCTTCAAACGCCTTAGACATGCCGTGACGGCCACTTTATACAGGGTTAATGCCTCCATAAAACTTACCGTCCGAGCAAATTCCAAGCGAGACCGCCACTAAATCGAGTTGGTGTTTACAGGCGAACTGAATAAGTTGACACATGCTGTCGTATGTTGTACCGTCCGATCCACAAACGCTCATATTGGCAACTGAAAAGCTCAAAAAGCATGGGCGCTATAAAACACACAATGTGGCCTTAGTTCCATCGGTTGTCGACTATTTCAAAGGCAACTGGCACGATAAATTTTTGAGACAAAAACGCTAATACGCTTGGCAGGAATGAATTCGGCGCCCCTGAGTAGGCGCTGCGTGGCGCCTTTCCAAGAAAGGTACCCTTATAGCGCCCTATCAAGCTGCAACATACCGACCCGGACGCCCACCGCGCCCGCCCGCCCACAAATGTCCGACCGATGCTGATGCTCGTATCGCTTCATTTGTGAAGTAAAATGTGAAGCGAAGGGATTGATATGAAGCGGCCGCGGGCTGCATGGATGTGTAAGCACATTCATGCACTAGAATCTACAGTAGCGATTATTGGTAATGGGTCAGCGGGGAAATCGTCCGAAATTGCTTTCTGAGTCGAACAAAGGCTTTTTGCAACATTCGCCGTTTCACTTCGTCTTTTCGCTATTTCTGACTGTTTAGCACCCCTGCTTCCATTCTAGACAGAGTACCAAATTATCGCGCCAATTGCCTTCAACTGGGTGATTAGTAATCTGCTTACCATAGTTGCGAAAAAGTTACGGTTTCAGAAGTATTATATAAAGCCTAAGCGCCACACTTCTGCAGTGCAACGACGTTGTGTCGTCAGTGATCTTTCAAGTTGATAGCCTTGCGCGGTATCTGTCGGAAGCAGTGCGTACCGGTCCCAACGCCCCGAGGGGTCGGCTATAAACGCATCTCTCGCGCTCATCCGAAGGAGTTGAAGGAATGTGTTCCTTCTTGGAAATCCGCATC